GACCCATCCTTGTTACTGCATTATTCTCAATCAATATTTTATTCCCTTAGATATCTTGATTAAGGTGTCATAATGACTAATACATACCCTCTCTCATGATAACTCTCCATTGGTTTTGTAGTTTGTTCAGATTGAATTTTGTGCTCTTTTCTTCTTTAATTAGTTTATCCTAGCATAACAACAAAAGAAACTCCACTATCAGACATTGTTCACAGTGCAGAACTGGTAAGGGAATATCAAACAAAGTGAACAACACGAAAATTAATTAAATGTAAGGGGGGCTTAAGTTTCTGAGGAAACTGTGGTGCTGGGTGATGGGGGGTTTTACGAGACAATTTGGCTTAAGAGTTTCTTAAGCTGACTTTTTAGCATTAAAACTTTACCAAAGCAAGTAGAGAAATTGCAGGCTGTTTGTGGTTAGGGTTATTTGATAGAAAACCAAATTATCTCTCAATTAAAAGTAAATTATTTCAATGTAGAAGTAATGGTTTTCAGGTTAGTCAAGTCAAAGACTGTTGTCCATGGCAGTGACTGACATTTCCATAAAGGGGTCCTGTGAACTGATATACCAATCACAATGCAAGACTCAAAAGAACAAAGTGGAGATGAGGGGGAGGAGGAGAGGGGGAGAGAGGGAGAGGGAGAGGGAGAGGGGGGAAGCTATTTCATGAGAGGCAAGTAAACTGCTCGGAATCCAATTTATCATAAAGAGTAATATACAATTTAATTCAGTGATACACGCTCCGGAGCTGAGCGACAGCGTGAGCAAATTATGTAAACTCTATTTAAGCTTTTAAAACTACTTCAAAATATGTATTTGAAAGATCGGTACGGTTGGCAATTGGAGAGGTTGAAATTTGTTGCATCATCCAGTCTGTCATCATTAACTTTGCAACCGCTTCAAGTCGTTGCAAAATATGAGATCCTGGTAATATAACTGCCACTGAGTTTCGCGAACTTATGTAGAGGTTGAATAAAAAATACAAAGTACAATTTGTGCGATTTACCTTCAAAAATTGTGTCAACATGTCCTCCTTTTTCTTCTTCATTTCTTCCTCTGCCAATCTTTTCTGCTCCATATAAAGAAGCCTCTCTTCCTCAGTCATCTTTGCAAGTTTCTTTTTGCCTGATTTCTTTTTCTTGGGAGGCATTTTTCCTCCGGAATGTATCGAAAACAAGAAAAACGATACAGATCCTGACTCAAATGGCTGACCCCAAAAGAGTGATCACCGTTGCTTGGCGACGGGAAGGTACATCATATATGGTATCCTAGAGCATACTTAAAAATACAAAAACGAGCGCATCAGACCATTGTCTGGCAAAACAATTTTAAAAAAGTATGAACTGTGCCATTAAGAAGAAAAGACGCGTTGGTATTGTAGGATATGGACACATAGGTAGGATAGTTAACATATCCACTCGATTTTACCACCATTAGATCTTGACTAATAATTAAAACTTCAGCTAATTTCCGAGGTACCACGAGCCTCATTAAGTAATTAAGACTGGAAAGTCGTACACCCAGGAAATTTGAACCAACAGGCTTCAATAGAAGTGACGCGAGGTCTTTCTTATACGACTCGTTTTGTAGTTTTTACTTCTCATAAAGGATATCTCATCGTCAACAGATCATGATCAGTGACGCTTTAAAGTGAATTCTGCAGAAACTGCTATCCAATTTATAGCTATATAAATTATGCAATATAACAGTACCACGTGTAAGTCCCGTCAGAACAGTGTCGAGTAATTGATTAACAGATCTACAATTTTTTCAATTTTTTTTTCGGTAGGAAAATATTTAGTTGGGGAAATATTAAAGAGAGATGATCTTGAGCTCAGTTTTGTTTGGAACAGAACTTCTGAAGCTCTCCGGAACAAAATAGATGATCGTTACATTCTGGAAGATTTATCGTCCTTTGCAGAAAAGTATTCTTGCTAAAATTAAGTTTATATTGTTTGAAAAGAGATAATACTTAACTTATAAAAGTGAAAATACCTTTAAAGGATACCAGAATCTTGTTTTAATCCATTTACACCTAGAAGTTATTAACGTATAACTTCTCTCTCAAATATTTATACATTATACAGTAAACAGGTAATGAGAATACTCAAACGTATCAGGTAGAAGTTGTTATCTTGATCTAACACAAAGGGGCATAGCTTGAGGCTGAAGATTTTTCATTTCAGATATTTTTGATGGTCTAGCAGATTTTTCTAATCAAATACTTCTAATATTTCTATATAACATGCATCAGATCCTGGTACATATTTTGATTTAAAATAACTTTTTTTTTTTATGGTGGTTGTACAGGACTCCAGATTTGATTGTTGAGGTTGCACATCCTTCAATAACAGTAGAGTTTGGTGAATCATTCCTTGATGTTGCTGATTACATGGTATGTAACTGATCTTTTTACATTGTTAAATTTTTATCATCTGTCACCTCGAAATATATATAGTTTTTTGTCTCTTGCTAAATGCAGCTATATTTTGATGCCCTACCCTGCACCAGGAGCAGTTTTTAATTCTCTCTAATTGTTTTCTCAGCAAAAATGAAAGCCCAGCTATTTAAATGGTTTCGCCCCTTTAAAATAACTAACATTTAATTTCTTCTTACAATATCATCCCTGAATAACTTGTTAAGTATACAAAAAATAAAGGAATCGATCACCAACGAGAGAAGCTCCTGATTGTTGACCAAATTCTCCATGTCAGAACCTTAGGAAACATACTGAGAACAGTATGGAGACTATGCATACTGATGTTAGGTTGTAAAGAGTTAAGCAGAGAGAAATTTAGGGAAGTTAAACAGTCAACATTAGATATGTATTCTGTATAGAACAAAATTAGTATTAATATTTTCTCCTTAATTTTTTGGTAGGTGGGTTCTCCAACTGCTCTGGCAAACTCAGATGTTGAAAACCGTCTGAGGTGGAAGGCTTCTAGTGGTAGCCATGGAATTTATATACCCAGTGGCGCTCTTTGGGGTGGTGCTGATATCAAGAAAATGGCAGATATAGGGACTCTAAAGGTGTGTATCTACAAGATGTATTATTATTTATGATCCATAAATTATTTGTGCTAGCCTACAAAATAAATTGAAGATGGGTGATCTGAAGATACCACCAAAGTAACATTGCTCAATTTTCAAACCTCATGTCTACTACCATAAATCTTTGTTTAAAATTTAATTCAAGACAAGATAACATTTTATGGTTGTTACAAAGGAAGGGAAATTTTTTTTTGTTTATAAAGTCATACCAGAGAAAACTCAAAAGAAAAAATATCCACAGCAAATAGTAAGCTGTTCTTGAACATTTTTTGTGCATGTTGCAAAATATTTGAAGGATAAGAAACACAGTAGCCTCTATTTTGCACCAAAATATATAAAAAATAGCTTGTATTTGGTGCAGAAATATATATGGAAATTTGTTTGTGGACATTATCTGTTCCAAGGTGAGGACAGTTTTGCGAGAGCAAAGCTTGAGGAAAACTGTGAACTTTGGAGTTATAAATACAGTTATTCATTTGTTATGATTACATTTACTAAGAATATATACTAGTAAATTTTAATTGCAATTTTAGGGACTGAAAGTAACAATGAAAAAGCACCCATCTTGTTTTAAATTGAATGAACCTCTTAAGTCAAGGAATGAGCAAGTGAACACAGAACCTGTTGTACTGTATGATGGTAGGTTTTAAAAGATTTTTTGTTTCATAAATTACCCAAAGAATAACCTCTGTCTAATTGTTATTGAAAATAATATAGCTCTCATTTTCTTTCAAATCAAAGCCATGATTTTTTTCACCCTGATTGTATTCCAAGACCTTCCATGAAGATTTCCTAAGGTGTATTGAGAAGTTAATAAATTCTTGATTTCATGAGGATGCTTTCCCTTATTAAAAGAATACTCCTGAAAGGCTTAAAAAAGCCAAATTTTTTGTAGGTGGGCATGAAAAATTGGCAGCATGTGCGGTCGTCATTATTAGCATTCTGGCACAAGTGTTTTTACCCGCAAGGAAGTATATGGCCTTTAGAAATGTGAGCCAGTAAGAGTTCTTCAAGGGGTTGAGCACTGACAATTAGTGTCAGACCCAATGGAAGCTTCTCCTTACTTGTCTCAGATCTTCCTGTGGGCAGAGAAACACACATCCTGCAGCACTATTAATGAGGGCCTGCTTGTAGTCTAGAGAAATTGGTTGCCAGGGGTGAACTTGTCTGAGCCAGGGGGATGGTAACAATATGAACTTATCTTCATAATCACATCAGTATTTGTTTCAAATGTTCTACCTGTTTTCCTGTAGGCCCTGTTCGGGAACTTTGTCCTTTAGCCCCAAACAATGTGAACACAATGGCAGCAGCAGCACTGGCAGCCCACAATCTGGGATTTGATAAGACACAAGGATGTATTGTGGCTGATCCAAGGCAAGATGTAATCAGTTGTCTGTTGTAAGACTGACAGATTAAATTCGTTTTGCAAATTTTGTTTGCAAATTTGATTGAATACACTTTGCCTCTGTCCTAAATATTTCAGGCCTGAAAAGAGTTTCAGATTTTCCATCCAAAGGCAGCTCCACTTTGAAAATCATTGATTTAATACGTGGCAAGTTCAGTCCATTTGAATACTCTTTTCAAAAAATGCTACATACTTTTGTTCTGAAATCTTTTGAGTATTCCAGTTATAATTCTATTAGTCTCAGAAATGCCTCTGTGGCAATAGAAGTTTAGTATCCTCAAGTCACAATCACTGGTTTTCTTTCTATAAGCACAGCCATTTTTTTATTCTCTCACACTTTTTCTAAGAAAAACTCTCTCAAAAGCAACATGCATGACTGCACTCATGCAAAGTGTCAATCAAAACTCAACTACATTCGGGTCCAGTCTCAGAAACTATAAGCTCTTTGCTATGGAAACCAGGATAAACTGGGTAAGCAATGGGTAATCAAGAAAGATAAGTTAACTCTGTACTCGAGTTAAGTGGCTCACCCAATCAGAGCTTGTTCCTCATCCTTTAGCAAAACGACACGAAGTATCATTACTCCCCCCCCTAGATGATCGCAAGGTTACCCCCCTTCCCCCCAAAAAAAGAAATTAACTATTCTTCCCTGACATTTTCCTGGTACCCATTTTTCTCCTGCTTGGAGAGAGACTCTGTGAGAGTAAGGTGTTTTGCCCAACTAGATAATCAGGAGTGCAATGCTTATTAAGAAATCCTGTTTCCTGAAATCTCTTTTTTAATTATGATGTTCTATTACTTAGTCTAAATGCTCATATTGTGCAAGTTGATGTCTTTGGACCCGGTGATGAACAAAACCAGTTCACAGTCAAGACTGTGCGCCATAATCCAGCAGGATCTGGAGCCATCACTGGCAATGCAACATATGCATCATTTCTTTGTAGTATGCTGGGTAAGAACTTACACTTTTAAAGAGTTTGTGATATGGACAGCAGAACAGAAGGCATTAGGAGTGTAGAGGAATATTATAGTACATTCCAGAACGTTCCATTTTTTACATTGTAACTCTAAAGTTGTGTGCTTAGTCAAGCATATCAGTTTGTAAATAGGATATTAATTAATTATTTAGACTGTTCTAGATTGTTACCTTGCTTTCCGAAGACTATCTCATGCTGATATTTTCAAACAAAATCTTTCTCTTTTTTTTCAGGAGCCCACAGTCAGGGACCTGGACTTCATCTTTGTTGAATTAGCTTTCAAAAAATTTGTATTTTTAAGAATTTTTCTTTTTTGAAAAAATGGATCCCAAATAAAAACACCTTTTGGTATGTACACATATCAGGGAGAGGTTAATCCTTCCACTCTCAAGATCTCATTAGTAATCCTCCTTAGTGTCTGCCATACAATTCCTATGATATTAGTTGAGAGAATAAGAGTCCTTTGGGCTGGTTAAAGGAGAGTTATGCTCCAGATACAGGGGTTTCAAAACAAGCTGGCAACCGTCAGAGTTCTACTAGCTCCTTGATAATAAGTTGCCAGTTTCACTGATCAAAATAATTACCTTGTGGTCTTTAATCAACTTTTCAATTCCCCTACTTTTGCAGAATCTGATGCCTTCTTCAAAACATTTTGAAGAAACAGATTTTATCTACGCAATATTTTTTGCTTGTGCTCTATTGGCTCAAATATACCATGTGATTGGATATTGTCAATTATCCATTTACAAAAAAAGAGGCTAGACTCTAAACTCTGTAGAACTTGTTAAATGAGCCATAACATTTGTGGTGTCAATTGAGTACAGGACACCTGAGAAATGCGTACCGGAAGTAACTTTGGGCTCATTTCTATCCGGTGTGGGAAGAAGAATGGGCTCCCTGTGAACCCTTGGGCAACCCCTTAGCCCCAGTTGTTCGAAGATTGGATAACGCTATCCACTGGATAAAACTCTATCCGGTAGATAACGCCATACGTTTTGCTATCACTTATACGCCGGATAGCGGTTTATCCGTTGGATAGCATTATCACTGGTTACTCGGGCTTTTCGTGCCTGTTATCTATTATCGAAAGAATGCCCTGGGAACGAGGTTACACGAAATCCAGAGCACAGGCGGAAACTTTTCAGGATGTCTTGAATAATTCACCGATAATATGAGTAAATTGGACATCTATGCAGGTGAGAGGTCTCGTCGCTGTAAACAGTAGTAACTGATTAAGTAAGGAATAACTACTTTGGGTTCAAAAATGGCGCGTGGTGATGACAAAGTTTCGAAAAATGTTGATAAACTCGGAGTCAACAGCTGTTGAACTGGCAGAGTTTCAAGATATGGAGAAAGATAATTCACCCCGAACCAAATAAGGGAATCAAAGTTTGTTTCGTCAATGATGTCACCAATCAGCTAATTATTTAAAATCGACCAATATTTCAGATCTGAGGTTGTAAGGCAAGAAGAAAAAGTCCAGAATCATTAGGGTTCCTCTCAAGAATTAGTTTGGCTTCGATAAGAATTTTTTCCTTCCTTTTGAAATTTCTTTATATTCAGCTACTGCCATACCTTTTTTAAAATAAATGTCTCCCTAAGTTCATTAGTTTGTAGTTCTCACAGTCTGCTTAACCGAAAAAAAACAGTTTAATCTCTGAGAGTGTGTGTTGAGCTGGAAAATGTATCCTCTGCCAAAATGGCGACCAAAAATTGAAATTGAGTTTATGGAAACACAACTCCCATAGCAAGTAAAGGCATGGTTCATATAGAAACTATGGAAAATGCTAAGTCAGTTCAATCCAGCTTATTAGTAAAATAACTGTTTCAAATTTGGTCATATTTGCATACTTTTGGGTTTGGCATACACCCTCAGCCATTCAAATGTGTGAAATTTTTTTCAAATTTTAAATAAAATTTTGTGTGGCTTGAATGATACCAGACTGGAATAGAGATGTTCTTTTACTGAGGTCACTATGGAGTTTTTTGGAGGCTAATTTGACCCATTTAACAAGGTTATTAAGACAACCATCTAGCTCACTGCTGAGATTTGACAATTGATAAGGTAAGGTATGAAGCCAATGAAAAAGTATTCAATATATTGTATCACTATAGCTTTAACTATGACTTAAAAGGTTCAGTGACAGTTGCCCGGAATAAAAGAGGAAAGTGATTGTAAAAGCAGGGATAAGAAAAATTATAGAGGAACAATTTTAATCCTTTTTAACATGTTTTTTTATTTCATTTTCTTATCTGATCAACAGATGCTGTAGCATGGTATGTAACATTTTGTCTATAATGTTAAATTCCTTTTAACAAAGTTCTCCAAGTAAACCTTCATGAGCAATCTATAACCTTACCTTTGTTAGGCTGGGAGAAGTAGGCATAAAGGTATTTCTAAAAAACAAGAGCCATTGTAGACTGTCCAGTGATGATAATTAACAACTACGTGAAGTCTACAACTGACCCAAGTAGCCTAATTATTCTGTGGATGCTTTGTCTAGTTTCAACAGCATTAACTTTTTGCACCCTAAGATCAGTATACGTATTCCTCATACTGTTCTCTGTACATCTGAAATGGTATTGACAAGGAAGTTGTGTAGAACAGTCAAGAGTTTCTTGAGTAGGTGATCATCTTCTGTATTCTCACAACCTTACTGTTTGATTCAGTGGTGGTCATGTATAGAGAGATTAGATGCCAGTCACTCCCAGGGGTTATATTAAGAGTCAAATACCTGCGTGGTAGACTAACTGGCTCACCGATTGGCATGGTGGACTGAGCTCATAGTGGTTTGGGATCTAAACCTGACAGGGCCATTCTGTTTCGTTCTTCAGCCAGTCACTGTTCTCTCACAGTGCTTCTCTCTACCCAGGAGCATCAATGGATACTTCTCACCTGTCATGCAAATATGACAGGGTATTTTGTCTCTACCCATTTGTATTCCTGAAAGGAAAGAAGAACTGTGTGACTAATATATCTTTCTCAAGACTAGGGAACCTCTTGACCCAGTGTAGAGTGAGCTGACTTATAGACATGCTCATCCTTTAGATAACATGTTAGACTCCAAGATTTTTGCTATTAAATTTTTTTTCTTCTTTGTAGGTTAGAGGGAGCTGTTTTTGAAAGTCAGAAAATGGGTCATGTTAATCTTGATGCATTAATAAGTGACTGTAAGAATGCATCCCAGTGTGTTCAGATGCTTTTACCAATAGAGGAGGATTCACTTATACGGGTAATAAGTAATGTAGTTTAATTTCCTTCAGCTAGTAAAACAAAGTGCGACAGTAAATGGTGCGATATACTGGCTGAGGAGTGGAAAAATTAGGGAGGCTTGGGTCAGGTCATGCAACATCACATCTACAGGACCCAACCCAATCTTTCCTTGTTTTTGTTCTGTTTCTACTTCTGGGCCATTCACTGTTTTGTTTTGTTTTTTAATTGAATGCCTGGAACAGGCTATAGTTCCTTTTTGGAATTTATTTCACTGGTTTTTTTAAGTCTTTTTTTTTTTTGCAACAAATTTGAAAAATGGCATGTAGTATTATGACCATGCAATAATTATTAAGCTAGCTTCAAATCTTAATTGTTATAATTTTGACCCTTAGAATGCCCTTGATGAAATTTCTATCTCACTGGAAAGTTATCTTGAGATTCTTCACAAGAAAAAGAGGCTGCTTGACTATGGATACACATCAGACTCAGGTATTCTTCATAACTTAAACACTAACCCCTTTCACCTTTAACTCCAAAGAGTGACTAGCCTCAAACTTTTCCAAACAGTTTCACTGCTGAGTCAGACATTAAGGTCAAGAAAATACAGAAAATGATCACTAGACAAAAGGCTCTTGATGATAAAACACATTCTCCTTGTTCTCCTGATGTTATGGTGTAGATGGTTAAGAAGGCTAACATTCCCAGGCTTCAGCTCTGAAGACTGATGTCAAACTGTATGAGGCATTTCTCATGTTTTCACAGACACAAAACCACAATAAATCAACATCTATTTATAATGCCCAGTTTACGAGATCTGTAAAATGCCTTAACAATCCCTTGTAAAAAACCCATTGGTTTTAATACTTGTATAATGAAAGGAAGTAGTTTCCCTGGCAAAGGTTTCCTCATCTGCCTCTCAGCTACCCTTGCTGTGCCATTTTTATTTTTTCTTACACATTTTGAGATCATTTATGATATTTTGCTAGACACACCCACAGCAACATGGTATCTGTTTGTCAATTGTTTTTACCCTCTAGAAATGAATCCAGTAAAAAGTGAAAATAATGATTGTAGAAGGTGAGCTAATTATTATTAATTAATTAATTATTAATTAATTTATTAATTAGCTAATTATTAATTATTAATTAATTAAGTTATTATTAGAAACAAGCCAATTGTATTACCCTGTTTCTTACTTTTATCTTACAATCCCAAAAACTCAAATGACAGCCCTGGTGCCTTAACCCTTGAGCCCATAATCATTGGTTAAATTTTAATCTTGTTTTAGAGTGATTTAATCGTGGGTTAGCACTAATCGGCTTTCGAACAACTGGAGCCTGATTGTTAATTCTCCTTTCTAGCTACTATGCATTTCCTTATAAATTAGTTATGGGAATTTGGTGTTAGATCAAGAAGACAACTTCTGCCTGATAAGTTCCAGTATTCTCATTACCTGTTTGCTGGATAATGTATGGATATAATAGAGAGAAGTTAATCACTTTCATCTCTTGCAGGCGAAAAATTGCAATTCAAGACACAATTGTTTCCCATGGGCTTATTAAATTCTGTGATGTTGTTGGCCTTAATGATGCTAAGCAAGCACTGAAAGAAGCTGTTGTTACACCACTTCAATTTCCACACTTCTTTACAGGTAAGAACTTACTTATTTCAATGTCTCTGATATGTAAATTGTAGAATCAATCTAGGGCAAACTAGAAAGATAGGGAGTGTTTAGTGAATATTGCTATTTTTGGGTTAACCATTTGACACAGTGGCCATAAATATATGCATATTTATGTTAGGGTGTAGAGAGTTAAAATGTTTCGAAATTGTGACGTTTTGTAGGGGGTCGACAGCCATGGAGGCGAATACTGCTGTATGGACCACCAGGAACAGGTACTCCAGTTTAATCTACGTCACTACTAGTCCATCGTTTGCCACCAATAGACCAAAAATAATATCTATTCTAAGGAGACAAAAGATAAAAAAAATGTGATAACATTCCACACCAATAACCTTGATTTACGGGCTGGCTCTCTAAGATTATGAGCACTTTTCAACTGAGAGTCGAAAGTAATCTGCATTTACATTGGTGTTCTTTAGAGCAATTTCCATTGAGTGTCGAAAGTTATCCGATATGGATTGATTTCGCTTTACTCCGTTCTGTGATTGGTCCTGTCAACCAATCAGATGCAAAACTAAAACCAATTACATCTTGGTCACCCGCGTTTTCCCGCGCTTTGGGCAGTTTGCTTGCTTTTACTTTGAGTTTTCATTGGTTCTTTAAGGGTATTTTCCTTTCTTCTGATTGGCCACCGTTGCGACAACTTTTGGTTTTGGTTTTGCAACACTTATTGAAAAGCGCTCTACTACACGTCTTCGTTGGTCCGGGAAAATTTTACCACTCTCTCGACCAGTCAGATGCAAAACTTAAAAAACTGCAATTTGTTCTCACGTATTTTTTTGCGCTTCAGGCGGTGTGCTTGGTTTTTCTTTGAGATCTCCTTCGCACCATCTCGCGTGACTAGCCAATGTCCTCATACTTAAGGCTTGGTTTAACTTGATTAAGTCGAAAAGCGCTAAGGCCTGAGTACAACGATTAGAAAAAGTTGCATTAGTTTTAAGATTTGTTTGAAGTCATTGTCACATTTTCACTAAAATTGGTAGTCATTGCAGTTTATTTATATCGTCATAACTGAGAGTTACTGCTACTGTTTTTGTTTAATAGGTAAAACAAGACTCGCGCAGGCTGTGGCTTCAGAGATCAACTCTGTATTTTACAGTGTGTCCAGTTCTGATCTAGTGTCCAGTTGGGTCGGAGAGAGTGAAAAGTACGTACAGCATATGTTGCTATTTGGATGGGTGCAATGTTCTCCTAAACCCCATAACTCCCGTGAGTGACCAAGGCAGAATTTCTCCTTACAATGTTTTCTTGTGTTTTTTTGTTTGTTTGTTTTTTGTAAGGCTTATCAAGGAGCTATTCCAAAATGCAAGAGGCCAACAGGTTCAATCAGTAAGTATAAAACTTGTTTTGTAGCGCGCGAGTCAGTACAAGGAATCTGCTTCTACACTTGTGCGACCTTCTTCATACTATTCAAGCCGATGGAATCTCAGTCCTGAAGAAGAGAGTTTTCGGATTTTTCTGTAAGCTTCGTTTTTAACTGAGTCTTATCTACGAACGGATGTGAATCAAAGATTATATTTTTTAAGCGAAGTTTAAACTTGATAACAAAAAAACTAAGACCAATTTAGGCACAGTTAGGTGTACTTTAAGTTGCACAGGTGAAGTCCTTATTAAATTTTTCTTACTAACATCAATTACTGCTCTGAACCACTTGTGTGTTCCTTGGACTTTTTAACGAACGTATTGAACCATATTTGCCAAACAGAAATATTACCGAGGTTTCCATTGGAAAAAACTGACCAAGGATGCCATTCACACGCCGAAAGCGCGGATTTTTCTCATGGTTTCTGCATCTTTAACTCCGCTATTATTGGCTAATTTGTTCCCTTTCAAATCAAAGTAGAACTGTTCGATGCGGCACTCATTTTTGTTCACATCAAAAGCCTTTTCAAGTATTTGCTATACTCTCTTTATATTTTCCAGGTAATTTTTATAGACGAAATTGATAGCATCTGTAGGAAAAGAAGCTCGCGGGAAGAAGAGTACACTCGAAGAATTAAGACTGAGTTATTAAAACAGGTCGGTAGATTTTGGAAACAGATCTTCGTGTATTTAGGTTACTTATCTACTAATCAGCTGCTGACATGTCACTCGCCTTTCGAACCACTCTGTTGACTTTTCTTGTCAGTAAAGGCCTATAGTGTTTATATAATAAACAGAGTAACACATTGTAGCCATGGAAATTCTCTTCCCAGTCGTGTTCAGCTCAATATCTGCGAGCTCGTTCGCTGTGCTCAGATATCGGGTTGAACACTCGAAGATAAATTTTATATTTACACGCGCCCCAAGTGTTCTTCTATATTTATTTCTAAATTCTGTTTTTTTTTTCTTACTTCTATTAAAGATGGAAGAGGCTGATAACCCTGCGTCAATGAACCATTTCATCTTGCTCTGTGCTACCAACTGTCCCTGGGAACTAGACTCCGCCTTCCTGAGAAGATTCCAGAAAAGAATATACATTCCATTACCAGATAAGTAAGATTTTGGTTATTCTGAAACGAAGCACTCAAAAGCAGAGACTTGAGCAAGAAGCATTCTAATTTATAAGGAACCAAGTACTGGAACTCGCGGAAAGCGATGAACCGCGAGGTCGAAAACGAAATACCCGCAACTCAATCGAAAACGGAGAACCCCGAGCTCGTAAAAGAATTACCCGAAATCGATCAAAAGCGAAGCCGAACCACGAGGTATGAAGTACCCCGAAGTCGGTCGAAAACGAAGAACCACGAGCTCGAAAGCGAAAATTTCTGAAGACATCTTTTAACTCCAAAAAAAAAACGATGGTATCCCGAACTGAACAGAAAGAGAACTAACTACTGCTTTTGTGTTTTTTTTTTGTGTGTGTGTGTGTATGTCTGGGTCGGAAATGCATCGATTTGGCTGTACGAAACACCTCTAAATTGATGAAAATTGCCATGTTTGATACAGACTGTCAAAATTCGCAAATAATAAGGTGCAACGTTTTGTCGAATTTACAGAACTCATAATTTCACTATTTTATTAATTGTGACTCTTAACTCCTGCCCGTGGACGAGGTTACTTGCGATAGTCACTGATGTATGATAAAAAGAATGATCTGAGAAATGTATTTGTTTCTATTTGTCTACGAGTATTTTACATTTCATAATTTTTAATGAAGTAAGTTTCAATTTCTAAGGGCCAGCGGTATTTTATTTCATAGAGCTGCACGCATTGCGTTAATGAAAATACACTTGGGAGTCACTCCTTCATCGCTCACTGCGGAAGATTGGTACCTACTTGGTGACAGGACAGAGGGCTTCTCGGGCAGCGATTTGTCAAACTGCACCTCAGATGCCATGTTTGAACCGTTACGTGAACTTGAAAACACCTCTCGCTGGAAGATGAACAAAGGTAAAATGCAGGAGATTGTATTCTACAGTGAGAGCCCTTTGAGGTTGAAATCAAAGTAAACGCAACTGCTAATGAGAGGAACGGAAAACATTGGTCCAGAAGATTCGCACCATTTTCCAACCAATCAGATTTAAAATTAAAACCACGACTTGGTCACCTGCGTTTTCCCGCGCTTCAGGTAGTTTGCGCGTTGCTACTCTGAGTTCTCATTGGCCGCTCTTGACCTTTCTTGCCGTCTGATTGGCTTTTATGATTTCTTTGGTTTTGGCACCTAATAAAAAAACGCTCCAACTATGTTACTGAAACATAGGACAAGTGGAAGGCAAGAAGGTGGCCCTAAACCATATGATTCCAAACCTAGTATTGCCGTTTGATTACACTGATTTGTCATCTATTTGTTGTCTTACGTGGCCTTTAGTTGACACCTCTCCTTCTATCAGATTTGTTTTATGTGCCGTGCTCTGAAATTGAAGAAGACGTCATAAATTCATCCATGAGGGATCTTCCATCTCAAAAAGTATGTTTTATGTCCTTTTTTATCATTCAGAAGTTGCCTTAAACCTTTTACTTTACCTGTGTCTTTAAAAATAACGTTGAGGGTATTAAGTCCTGTAACTTAAACCCTTTTATACCCCAAGATCTGATTGTCAATTCTCCCCTATAGCTGCTACAGATTTCCTTGTATATTAGTTACGAGAATTTGGTGTTGGATCAGTCGTGATCTCTTCATTGAAGATTAATTGATGAAGTTGTTTTCTCTATCACTTCCATCTAGATTCAACCTCGTTCTGTGAGACTTGATGATTTCTTGAAAGTGTTGTCGCACAATACAAGCACAGTTGCCGAAGAAGACTTAAAAAAATTTGAAAAGTTTACCATAAATCTTGGACAGAGGGGATAAACCGTTACTGGAGAAATCTCATGCTAGTACTGTAACAAACAAAGTACAAAACTGAACTGAACTGAACACCCAGTTAACGCTAATTTCCGAATTAACTTCGAAAGTCATATAAGATTGCCGATTGGGTTTGCCTTACCACGCTCCATAATTTGTCGAGGAAACTTGCGCCATCGTCTGAAACAAAACTTGAAGAGCTAAACTAAAACCAATATCGTCTGTTCACATTTCTACCTATAAAGAAGTCTGCTTGTTCTTACGATGAGTTGTTTTTTGGCTCCCTTTGATTTTTCCCTTTGTTCTGATTAACCATTGATTTGATTTTGGTTTTTTATAACACCCAATCGATTAGCGCATCAGAATGTTGCGCAAATAATTCGGGTGTCGCCTTGTCGCCGTTCATGGAACAGTTATTGCGAGATGATGTGTTACAACTGCTTCACATCGTTTTATTTTTTTTTTCAATATTTTCCTTAAATATTATATTGTACTGTATTCAGAAAACAATGTGTTACAGTTAGACACTAAGTCAATTCTGGTCACTTATAGCAAAGCGAACTGAGTTTTCGGGAAAATCTCAAACTTAGGCCATGTCGTGTTGGATATTGGGCCGTTTGCTATCACAATTCGTTTTACTCACTGAATGACCAGACCTGGAATAGACTAAAGCCGGCACACAAACCTTTTTCGAACAAAAGAGACCTTCTGACCTGAAGAACTGACCCCTTTCGCGCTGTTCTGGGCGGTAGGTGGGCGGCGCCGTTTAAATAGGCGCGGAAATGACCTGGGTGCTAGGCTGGCTTTACAATGGAAAGCAAAACAAAGAACTTTCTGCAGGTTGCGTTCGACTTCGCAAGCGGCAGAAAGTGAAATATTCGGTGTCTTGCTTTCGCACAGAGCAATTTAAAGGTTAGTGAAGATCGGAGAGATACATCCTATTACAACGGTTCGTATACTCCTCTATGGTCAACTATTTTAACACTTCAATTTTGTTGATCGAATTTGTTTACCTCAGCTAAATATTATTATGCCTGTGAGCTTGATCTCCCTTGTGTTAGTCGGTGCAAGACACTCCTTTCACTTAAGAGTTTTCTACAAGTCTGTTAAAAGTTAAAAATGCAGTCGTAACTGTGGATTTTTTAGTTAATCTTCGGTCGGTGTGCAGCTTTGAAACATAAAGATACTCGAGAATGTTTCCTAAATGGGACTAAGCCTTTCCTAAACTGCAGGCCTTGCAAATTTTGAGACATGCATAATATTTCAGTTACTCAAACCTTCCCTCTTACTTTGAAAGCAAGTGATTCAGGTAATTCGCCTGCTTTTACGAGGTAACGTTCTTGGATAAATTAGTTTGTTAGCCGATAACACATGTATTTACAAAGGTAACCTAATCCCGTGCGAAGCAGAATTTGAAGTTCTTTGTTCGAAGGGCCTGTGCAGGCCGAACTTTTGTCATGTAAAGGTTTGAAATTGAAATGACCAGCTTACCAAGTTGCGAAATGTCTCCGACCCATTTAGTCAGCTTGTCAGTTCTCGGTAATCTGTCAGCAGAGTTAAAATAACAGTGGTTGCTTTTAATGTAAATAGAGATGGAAAAAATGTACGAGAATGAATGAAGTTTCCTTATTTCTTAAACTTTAGACTGAGCCATGAGTAGTGGACGCGGACGTACTGCCCCTCATGATGAGGAGAGTATTTATCGTATTCCACCATATTATTACATTCATGTTTTGGATCAGAACACGAATGTCACCAAGGTGGAAGTTGGTCCGAAAACCTTCATCCGTCAAGATAACGAAAAGGTTAGTGCTAGTGAATCTTTCAGTTGGACAAGTATAGGATAATTTAAGGTGAATTTTCTTTGACAGGTGGACGAATGGATCTAGTTTAAAATTAAATTAACGTCAGTCTGCAGTTAAGATTTTATTTTGCAAAACAGCTGCTAAAACAGAAACACTTTGACATTAACATATTGGCAAGATTTGCGCTCAGTTCCATGCTTCATTATGCATACAGTTCTGTTATAAAGGAAACAATGGTGAAAACAATAGATTGCCTTTGGAACCAGGGCTTTGTTTTAGAATAGTATGTATATGTTATACAGTAATAATTCTGATTTATTTTCTGTTCCATTCACACAGGTTATTCTTGGTCCAGAAAGAATGATTACAATTCCTCCTCGGCATTACTGTGTTGTGGAAAATCCAGTTCTTAGGGATAAGGATGGGCGTGTCGTTATAGATTCTAATGGACAGATCAAACTGGGTCATGCCGATCAGGTAACATAGCGGTTTTACATAGTGCTGTTAATTCAACGTAAAACCAATTTTTGAAAGTGAATTATTCCTTTAACTCCCAGATGTGATTAACATGTAACTTCTCCCAATAATATTCATAAATTATATAGCAAACAGGTGACAAGAATACTCAAACTTATCTGGTAGAAGTTGTTATCTCGATCTAACACCAAATTCTAATAAATAAGTTATTAGGAAATGATTAGCAGCAAGAGGGGAGCATCAAAAATCAGACTTTGGAGTTGAAAGGTTAAGGGAGGAATGCAAAATCTGATGTTATTATAAGGCAAACAGTAGAATTTAAGATTAATATTGGTCAATGAGTGTATTTCTTGCATTCACTGTGGTGAGAATATTCAAGCTTGTCTGAAAGGTTGTTAATGTTTCATTTATTAGAAGAATGCTCAATTAACCTTGCTTTTAGAAGGATATGTCAGCCATATGGTCTACATAAAAATGCTTATTTAAGACAATACTGTTATGTTCTGAATGTTATGTGTAAATTAAGACAAGTATGGACTTTGTTTGAAGGAAAAATAAACACACAACATTTTGATACTTTAAACAAGCATTTTAGAAAATATCAAAATACAGCTTTCTTTGCTTGGTCTTGGATGTAAGGTTGTAACAAGTTGATAACAGACCCGTACTCCAGAAAAAATAACCAATCAGTGGTTGTTCATAGCAAATATTCCAGAAGACTGGAGGTTTGAAAAAAAAAACCTGAGAATTAAATTTTGGACAGCGGAAGAGGGAAGGGAAATAGGGAAAAGAAAATAGGGAAGGGAGGAGAGGAGTGATCGAAACTAAGGACCCTGTGGTGGACGATGAATTATACCATTTGTCATGTATTTTAGGATATTCGTCTTGCTCAAGACCCATTCCCTTTGTATCCTGGTGAAGTTTTGAAGCAAGGTGTTACTGGTCTAAGGGTGGTTATGGCTAACTCTGCCATACGACTCCGTGCAATGCTGGACTATGAGTCTGAATCAGGAGAGAAGAGAGTGGCTGGGGATGAGTGGTTGTTTGAAGGGCCAGGTAATACTCATGCTGATTCATATCTTATTGAGAGGAAATAGTATGATTTATACTGGTAAACTAAGTGTACATTGATATAAAACCCTTGCTGAGAGGGTCTTTACCCTTTAACCCTCAGTATTGATTAGCTTGTAACTTCTTCTTGTGATACCGATATATTGTCTTGCTAACAAGTTATGAGAAGAGACAAGCTTATCAGCTAGTGGATGTTATGTTCACTTGATATAATATACATTCCCCTGTCTAATTACAAGAAACTCTGTGACAGTAAGAAGGAGGAAATACTAGTTGGATCTAAATGAGAACTAACAGGTTAATCTATCAAGCAAGGGTCTCAAGAGAGCCATTCTTTTTTAATTATAATATGATAATTATTTAGTTTTAATTTTTAGGTTATACTTATATGTTTCTGAACATTTTGCTTCCTAACTTTTCCTGTAATAAGGGGGTATCCTTCAAGAGAATTGTGAACTTGAAACTGAGAACATGGTGAATCATATATGATATCAGCTTCTAGTAGATAGCTTGCTGAATTAGTTTCATGCTTTTCTACTCAACTGTAGTAGTACTCTTTGGGGAAATTCATTGCATTGAAGTAGATATAGCATATAGAAATAAGTAATTCTTAATTAATCAGTATAATCTTATCACATTTTAAAAACAATTATAAATATTTTCTACAGGTACATATATACCAAAGAAAGAGGTTGAAGTGGTAGAAAACATCCTTGCCACCATTATCCAGCCAAACCAAGCCATCAGACTGAGGGCAAGAAAGGAAACCAAAGTAAGGACTTTGAAGACAGGATTTTTTAAATTTATCATGTATAGGAATAATAATATTTGGTACATGTGCATGCAAGGACCAAACTAAACTAGAGACAGATTGGTGGTTCTGTCTGAAACATCCAGATTCTTAATTTGTTACCTTTTATCAAAGGAAGTGAGACTTAATCCAGAATAAAGGGGATAAGTGTCACAGGAAACTGTGGTTCTACATCAGTGGGAGAATACAACAAGGTAATTCATTATTATCAACTGAGTTGATCACTAAATTGGCCAGTGTTAACCCTCTGTCAGAATGAAAGATGAAGGGCTAATGCTTGAAACAACATACAGCTTTAAAACTCATTATGGTGGTCCGTTCACAGAATGAACACAGTTGATGATACTAAATTACCTTAAAAGTAAAGGATCTGTTTTGAGGTAAATTTGCAACCTCATCTTACTTCTTCTTTTTCTCATTATTTGAAAATTAATCTTCAAACAGGATCGTGATGATAACTTGCGTGTTGCTGGGGAAGAGTGGCTTGTTAAAAAGATTGGTGCTTATCTTCCTGGTGCTTATGAGGAAGTGGTTGATGTTGTAAATGCCTATGTATTGACTGAGAAGGTGGGTGCAAGAACGTATTAAAAATGTATCATATTTGATTGACAAAGAAAGATAGATATATAGTGCAGAGGACAGCTACTTCATGGAATTTGATTGGGTAGGAACTAAATGCTACTGAAGAAATGAAAAATGGTTTCCGTGTTTACATAGCCTGATGTAAACATGCAGGAGGTTGGGAGAACACGAGATAAGCGTATCTTATCTCGTATCTTATCGAGTGTTCTCCCAACCTCCCAAGTGTTTACATCAGGCTATGTAAACACGGAAACCATTTTACTTTTCTTTTATAAAATAACTAATGAAAGAGGAACAAAAACCGTATTTACATATGCTCATGTAAAATGGTTTTATGGCCAATCAGAGCGTGCATACTATTTGAATTATTTTATAAAATATTTTTTTAAAATTCTTTGTTTGACTTTAAGCGAGTTTTTAATTTTTTTCTGAGTGTTTTTTGAAGTTGTTTCTTAGTGAAGAGTTTAAAAAGACTAAGAAGTGCTAGTGTAGGCTCTCTGTGCTGTGCATGGAGAAAGGAAATGTTTGTGACAGTTCTTCAAAATCTTTGGTCATCTGACTGCATTCTTTGAAGATTAGGAATAAGGGAGTGAGAAGATGAAATTTTAAGGAGTTAAACCATAGCCATAGGTGTTTGTAGAATCAGTGGAGTTTAAACTTTCTGATTTGAAGACCAGTCAAAGGAAAGCAAAGTAGCTCTCCCTGGCTCATTTGAATGCTGATGAACAATGGTAAACTACAGTTATGGTATATAGTTAAAGTAACAAATTTTCTCCAACCTTTGCAGCTGTACTTTGGTTAAGAACTAAACAACCCTTAAACTCCCTGAAGTGACCAACAAGTAACTTCTCCCTTTAATATCTGTACATTATTCAGAAAACAGGTAACAAGAATACTCAAACTTATCGGGTAGAAGTTGTTGTCTTGATCTAATGCCAAATTATTGAACTTATTTACAAGGAAATGAGTGTGCAGCTAGAGGGGAGAATGAACAATCACACATCTTGGGAGTTAATTGGGGTTATGTGCTGCAAAATATGTTCAAACACCATATGTAAATCTATGGCATTAGCCAGTACTTTAGAGGATCCCTGAAAAATGCCCCCATGAATTGTCAATATTCCATTATCCTAGTGCCTCTTTTGAGCCTCTTTTATTTTTTCATATTATAGAAAGCTTTACATCTGCAATCCACACGCACATTCAAAGATGATACAGGTGTTTTACGAAAGAATGGGGAGGAGTGGTTAATTACCATGACAGACACAGAGGCACATATTCCAAATGTCTATGAAGAGGTAATGTTATTCAATTGATCATCCAGACTATGAAGGCAGCCATAGATGATGAGGAGAATTATGCCAACCCTGTAGTTAATTGATGCATTAACTGGTAACAGTTTGAGTAAAACAATTAAAATTTAATACATCAAATCTTACCTGTTCCATCTTGTAGGTTGTAGGAGTTGTTGATATCACAACACTGAACAACAGGCAGTACTGTGTCATTCTAGATCCTGTTGATAAAGATGGGAGGCCCCAGCTGGGGCAAAAGAGGCTAGTGAAGGTACTGGTACCTACTTGTCAATCTACAAAACAACCCTTTTTAAGGAGTATGATATGAATTGGATAATTTTATTTGTTTTATCAACTGAGTTGATAACTTAAACTGACCATTATAAAGAGTTTAAAAGCTGATGTTTCAAGCATTATAGCCCTTCGCTTTTCACTCTTTATGGTGGCCAATTTACATTATCAACTCAGTGGATAATACTAAATTACCCTGATACACTTTCTCACTGACACAGCACCACAGTTTCTTGAGAAACCTACCCCCTTTATGATATGAATTGCACCTTTGAACACAAGGTGACTACAAAGAGCAAAATAAAATACACAGAAAAACTTATTTTACAAGTTCACAAGTTATAAGGTCACTTAAGACATACAGGACAAGTGCAAACTCATTCTTCAATCTCTTCAGTATATTCCTTCAAGGATAGATATGTCCTTAATGATGCTAAAGAAAGCTGATGACGCGAAGACAATTTCACTCCAATGTGGATTGAATGTAAAAGGAAAATCAAAACTTTTTCTGATGAACAAAATAATTCAAAATCTTGGTTCTGAACAAGCTTACCAAGTTAAAATGGGAATGGCATGGAGCTGGTGATTAAATTAAATAAAGTGCAGGACACCTGCAAGGATCATCTTATCATGTTCATAATGTATATATCGCCCGCACATTAAAATATTATTTATTTCATTATATTGAGATTACTAAAAGATAACTTGAATTTGTTCCTGTCTTTCAGGGAGAGAAGTCATTCTTCCTGTTGCCTGGTGAAAAGCTTGAGCAAGGTATCCAAGATGTGTTTATTCTTGGTGAGGATGAGGGGCTGATTCTGAAAGCAAATGAGGCCTTTCTTGATGTTAATGAAAAGGAGGTAAATAAACAAATACAACAGAACTTTTTTTCAGGATAAATGGTAACTTTAACAGTTAACCCTTTAACTCCCATGAGTGACCAAGACAGAATTTCTCCTTACAATATCAATACAATGTCAACCAGACAAGCGATGAGAATACAGAAAAATATTAATTTGGGGATGATCAGTTGATCCAATACTAACTTCTCTGAACTAACATTTTAAGAATTGTATGGTTGACATTTAGGAAAATTACAAATTTGGTCTGGGAGTTAAAGGGTTAAGAAAAGAGATGCTCTAAGTCCTAGTTTGAGAAGTCTGAGTTTAGACATATTGAGGTCATAATGTGTTGTGTTCTTGGGCAAAACACTTTACTTTCACAGTGCCTCGCTCTCTACCCAGGAGTATAAATGGGTACCAGCGATTTGTAATGGAAAAAGGGTAACCTGGATTGGGTACTTGGCTGGAATGCAGACTTTACCTCTTATTGTTTTTTTTACAGTTGAAAATAGTGACATAACATAGATGTTTTCATTTGGGACATATATACACAAGCTTGATTACTCCATCACAAGGAAGATGTAGGTTCAAAATATTTCAAGAGATAAATCTCATCATGGGGGTCCATCCACTTCCTTGCCCTCTTGTGGCATGGTGGGTCTTTGATAAAATGGAATTACTTTATTTCCTCGGATAAGTGTCTGGCTAAAGGAGGGGTGCTTATTGGAAGGAGGGCAGTTAATCATGGAGCACTTTTTAAGAATTAAACTATTAACCTACACTGATTCTGCTGTGGTTGAAGCTTAAAAAAAGTTTCAAATTAAGTGACAATAGAAACAGTTTTTCCTTGTATCCCCTCTAATAGACAAAGTGAGAGAAGGAGAAAAGGGGGCGTATCTGTTCAAGAGGGCATTTATTTGATATTATGGCTTAGGGGATAAGTGCTTTCCAAGAGAGGGCACTTTTAAGAGTATTTGTGCTTATTCAAGGAAATTCAGGAAATGTACATTCATCTCAGTAAGCTTTTAATAAGTATTTTTTTTGTAGAAAGAGATACCAAGACGGCCTGGTGATCGCTGGATGATCCGTGGACCCAGTGAATATGTTCCACCAGTAGAGGTAGAAGTTGTTGCACGACGGAAAGCTATTCCTCTGGATGAAAATGAAGGAATCTATGTGAGAGATATCAAGACTGGACGGGTGAGAGCTGTGTGTGGTCAAACCTACATGTTGACCCATGATGAAGAACTCTGGGAGAAAGATCTGCCTCCAACAGTTGAGCAACTTCTTACTGGGGGGAAGGATCCACTGGCTGACCGTGGCACAAGGAATATGTTTTTACCACCTGAATTGAGTAAGGCCTTTTTAAGGGTGACTGGGGCCTCGCACATTTTATCTGTATTTTTATCAGTATCCATATACTCTATACTTTTCTCTATACATTTTCTTTGGTACTATAATTGTTTCAAATCTATGATCATAATAATTCCTAATTACTAAACTAATATTATAGTATATGTGCAATCAGCATGGCAGATTTGACAATTTTGAGTAATTTAAGTCAAATTCATCAAAAGGGAAATCAGCTTGGTGGATTTGATGATTTTGATGAATTTTTTGCTATTTTTTGTTACTGCATGCATTTCTGGACATACTTCAGAAAGGGTAGGGTAAATCTTGTTCTAAAATCTCTCTAGGTTATCAGTCTCTTTCCACCCACTGGGATGAAAGTTCCAAGATGGAACTAAATCAAACTTCATCAAGAAGGCCTGGACAAAGAGGTGAACAAACAGCAATGCTTTCAGCTCAGTCATTACTAAAAGCCCTTGATAGAAAGTTGATTTTATGATAGTTGGAAAAGTATTCATGTTTAAGTTATGCACTCTTTTAAAAATCTAACATTCCTGCCATTTTAGCGATGCTTGAAATCAATACTAACCATTAACATTATTCAACATTAACCCTCTGAACCCTAAGAGTGACTAACATCTAATTTCTCCTTACAATATCACCCCTGAATCACACATTAGGGTCACGAGAATAAAGAAAATGATAACCAGTCTTGAAAAGAGGCCCCTGATTGTTAAACAAATTCTCCTTGTCAGCACCTTTGTTAATGTATAGAGAACAGTATGGAGAATAGGGTTTTAAAATTAAGTCATAATTTACTTCAATTTTTTTTGTCTTAAAATTTAACAACTATATAACAATTTTAATCATTTTTGACTTGCAGCACAAAGAGAGCCAAAAAGCAGCACTGGTAGGAATAAAACCAGAGTTGTGACTTTTAGAGTCCCTCATAATGCAGCAGTACAGATTTATGATTATAAAGAGAAGACTGCCAGGTAATATGCAAGGGTGAACATCATACATTTAGTTTATCTAGGAACTTCATTAGACTAATTAACTTGAGTTTCATGTAATTATGTTGGAAATCTGTGGCAGAATTGTGTTTGAATTCCTGTTATTAGCAAACCAGAACTCACAGGTGCTCTTAAATTTTTTTGCTTTCAGGAGTTAATATAATGTAATTTCGAATTCTCCTCCCAGTATCAATATATTTTTAAGCACATGCAGGAAGGTGATGAAAATAAAGAAAAATATAATCTAGGAAACTATCTTTCTTGTTAACAAAACAATTTCCAAACTTAGAAATTTCCAGAGATCTAACTTATGGCAGATAATAGAAGGTGGAGGACTTACCAATATTTAGATCTTGAGGGTGTTGAAAGGGTTTATTCTTTCATTCCCATAACTCTCTTTATTGTCTGCTAGACAATTCTTATGTTGTGAGTTTGGATGATTTGGTATTGGATCAACTGATAATCCCCTAATTGATGTTTTCCTTTATTCTCATGTATTGTCTGCATGATATTGTATCGAAATTGTGAGGAGAAATTCTGCTTTGGTCACTTAAAGGAATTAAAGGGTTAGGCTATAGGATGCAGCTTAACCTTACTTTAATTATACAGGTGTATGGTAATGTATGGCAGGAAACTCTCCCACCCCTCCCCATGGAAAATTCTTCTAACTCTGTGACACATTACAGACCTAGTTGAGTAGCATTTTAAGTCATGATAGTTTTGGTACCTCTTCACAGGGTTGTGTTTGGTCCTGAGTTGGTTATGTTGTGCCCAGATGAACAATTTACTCAGCTCAGTCTGTCAGGTGGAAAACCAAAGAAACCCAATGTTATTAAGGCATTGTGTCTTCTCCTTGGCCCAGACTTCTGTACTGATATCATCACTGTGGAGACTGCTGACCATGCAAGACTGCAGCTACAGCTTTCTTACAACTGGTAATTGGAATTTTACTTTTCTTATGATAAATTGTTGACGGTCATTAGTTTAACTTTGTGATAGGTCGTAGATCTTTATAGGTTATTATAGTCTTTTAAAAGTTATAGCAGCACAATTTCACTAAAATTTCCAATGTCATTCAACCTTGTTTTGATTTTTTATTCTGAGGGAGAGTCATGTTGGTCATAGTTGTATAGAATGCACTAGACAATGAATCAAAAGGTCCAGAATTGAGCCCCTGTTATTACACTTGTTGGTGATTCTTCATGACTAATAAATCAACTAAGTACTGACTATTTTATTGACTGACAGATCAGTCAGTTCTGAAAAAGAAAATCATGCAATGGCCGTACATTAACCTTACTTAACAGGCATTTTGATGCTGGAGAGAGGAAGCCAAAAGATGCAGCCAAGTTGTTTTCAGTTCCTGACTTTGTTGGAGATGCATGCAAAGCAATTGCTTCAAGAATCCGTGGTGCAGTAGCGGGTGTCCAGTTTGATGACTTTCACAAGGTGCAGATCATAAGCAATTTAAGCTTTAGTTGGCACCAGCTAAACTGCATTGATTATACACTTTTGAGGTGACAGTCACCAAAGTTTTTGGAAGTGTAAAAAAGATCTGATGTTTACTTTAAGCAAGATCAAGACTTATTTGTTACTATTAAGGGTAACAGACTGAGTTGAATTTTTTTTTTTCTTAATTTTACTTTTAAAAAAATTTGGAAAAGGAACTTGCTTTTAAATCAGCTCCTTCCCCCCTCAAAAAAGGTGACAAAATTAAAGCTTAGGTTCTTGAGGGGATAACTAAAATATTTGCTAAAATAAATCAATTTCCCTGCAGAACTCAGCAAAGATCATTCGCACTTCAGTATTTGGCATAGATGACAACCACAAAATCCGAAATAAGTTTACTTTCCCAGCCAATAATCTAAACATCACTAGTATTGACATCCAATCAGTGGAGCCAGTTGATCAACGCACACGAGATGCTTTGCAGAAGTCTGTTCAGTTGGCCATTGAGATAACAACCAACTCTCAGGAAGCCACAGCAAGGTATGGGTCATTAGCTTGAAGCTTTGAACGGAACTAAAGCCGTTAAATTCTAGCCTTAGGAAAAAATTTATCTTTCAAACAGCACTCTTAATCCCCTTGGTATGAACGAGCACTTTTCATTCAACTGATTTATTCCTGTTTTCCTGTCACCTATTTACACCAATACCATAACTTCATTTTCTGCATGTAAACATACACAACCCTGTGGCTCTGACAAAAGGGCTAACACTGGCAATGTCAGCCTTAAAACTCTTTACAGTGGCCAATTTATGTTATCAACTCAGTTGATAAAACTTTATTGCCCTGCTATACTCTCTTACCAGTTCAGCACCACAGTTTCTTTAGAAATTTACCCCCTTTATTCATTTGAGCAGAACTGTTGTGTTGTGCAGACTGCAGAACTATTTAAGGGAAATATGCCTTAGTTTTAGCATATCATTTATCATTTTCAGTCCCTTTTAAATGAAATCTCTTCTTTACATTATTTTACATTATTGTTCCTTCAGTTCTTCCCTTTGTCATATTTTGCAGTGACTTTCTTTCACATTGAGGATAGATTTCTATAACTCACACAAAGAAAATAATCAAAATACTTAGAAGTGGGGTAATCTTAGTAATGGCAAATTTAGCATTTGGACCCCTAAGAGTGTTTAGCATCTTATTTCTCCTCACATTGTCATCCTTGAATCAAACAGTTAAGTCACGAGAAATAAGGAAATGATCACCAATGAAAGAAGCACTTATCAGTGCCTTAAGAAATGTACAGAGAACAGTATGGAGAAGAAGCATATGGAGAAGGGTGTAAAGAGTTATAAACATGAACCTGTTGCGAGACAGCAATGATCTGATGGATTATTGTGTTTGTTTTAGGCATGAAGCAGAGAGACTTGAACAAGAAGCCAAAGGTCGCCTGGAGAGACAGAAGATCACAGATGAGGCTGAAGCAGAACGTGCTAGGAAGGACCTGTTAGAACTCCAAGCCCAAAGTGCTGCAGTGGAGTCAACAGGGCAAGCCAAAGCTGAAGCTCAGTCACGAGCAGAGGCAGCTCGCATTGAAGGGGAGGCTGCAGTTCAGCAGGCAAAGTTGAAGGCAGAGGCAGCAAAGATTGAGGCTGTAAGCATTTTCCTATCCTGGTACTTTCTCATGCCATAGTAATTGTTTTCCTTGGAGAAAAGAAATCTTCCTTGGAAAAAGCCTGTGAGCAGGCTGTTGTTATCAGAACTGCAATGATCTTGCTAAATGTATGTACCATTATTATGTATGTTCATGTTTTGTCTTATTACAACAACCTCTTTAAGGAATCAGAACTACAGCGTCTGAGTAAAACTCGAGAGGCCGAGTTGAAGTACCAGCATGAACAGAATACTTTAGATGTCACCAAGGCCAAAGAAATGTCCAGCATCGAAACTGACAAATTCAAAAACATGGTTTCATCCATTGGTTCTGATACAATTCAGGCAATAGCTACAGCTGGACCAGAGATGCAGGTATGTGCTGCAGTAACTTGTTGCTTTCCAGATTTGTTTTCAACTAAGTATTAAAAGTAATCCAGGGTTGTGATAAGCAGAATCTCCCAGAAAAGGGTTGCATTGGGTTGTCTTCTTTTTGATGAGTGATTGTTCTTGGAAATTTACATCATCCTCTCAACTGATTAGATGGAAAATGAAAACCTGATTGACATCATTTCCTGAAACTTCTAGTTCTTTTTCTCTCCTCATCAGCTTCTGGTGATTTTTATTATTTTGTCCTGTTTTTCTGACACCATTGCTTTTGTTTTGATTTTTACAAGACTCAGTGGAAATGTGCTTTGTTTTTGCCAAAATCTACAAGTGATAAACCTCGTTCTTATTTCTGTATGTTGTTGGGAGTGGGGAAAAAGGGGTTTGAAAATTATTTGATGAAGGAACTTGAGTTTAATGGAAGGGAAATGGGTCAGTGGCTGATTTCTGGTCGTTACATTGTAGGTGAAACTTCTACAGTCATTAGGACTGAAGTCTACTCTGATAACAGATGGTAGCTCGCCTATCAATTTGTTCAGCACAGCACAAGGCTTGATTGGTGCCCTTCAACAGCCTGGCTCCTCCGAGGACTTCTGATGCATCATGATTGACCGACATGTAGCGACCTCATCGTTTGCATAATTGAATGCTGCAAGTGCAATTAATTTAAACATCTTTAATCACATACTTTGATATTAGTATTATGATTAAGAATTATTATCATAGTTTTGGAACAATTAATATAACTGTAGTTTGCTTACTATTAATAGCAAAAAACAATTGCACCAGCAATTTAAAAAGTAATTTTTCCATTGTTATAATTATGCCTATTTGCATCATTGAAATGATTTACACTTGATTTAAACTGGAAGAGTCACTTAAACTAAAATTAAGGGAAAAGAAATGCAGGAGATGGACGTGCATTAACTATGACAAACTTGAAAAAATTCAGCCCTAATTTGACATGTTTCTTGCCTTGTATTTAGTTCCCTAACAGAGTCAAAATTAGTCTTTGTTTTACACCCTGGAACTATGAATTCAGTAGCTAACTCTGAAACTCTAAACATGCCACAAATAATTTTCTGGGTATTCAAATTCAAGTGAAAAAAAAAAGAGAGAGGAAGAAGTTATGTGCCTTAACCGCACAATAAGAGATCCTCTCTAATGTTGACTTTCCACAGACCTTTTCACTATTGTTTTCTTGTGGGTTCCTCAGTGCATCGAATTCTCAATATCCTGATGCATCTGGTAATTCTGAGATAAAAGGTGCTGTAAATCTTTAGAGAAGCACCATTTAACAAAAGCGAATGTAATGTTGTTAAGAATCTACTGAAAAGATTTCCATTTCATGCACTTCGTTTTCTCTGGATGTAATAACATTCCTTAGTGAATTAAGATATATTACGACTGATTTCCTACAATAATTAATAAATTTGTCACTAGCCCTTGGTAGAATGATTTATCTGTTTAGCATTTCCAACTTTGAGTGTTGCGTAAAGTTATGTTTGCTTCCTTCAAGTTGGCAAAAATGTCAGCATCATTACCCCCTTCATGATCTGACACCAGAAGATAAGTGGAGGGGAAGGGAACTATTCCTGTTACAGTCTGAAAAACTCTGGAGGCTGATGAGTTCATAAGGCTGTTTTTTTACAATGTGCATTGCATTTCAAATGCAACGCTTACTTGGGGTGTCCCTCAATAGCAATATCTCTCTTATATGCTTCACCAAGTCAAGGGATGGTGCCTAATCAAGTGAACAATCATCAGATGGTGTATTTTTCCAAAACTTTTGTTATGGCTGAGAAACAGAACAACTCCAATGTCACCCAACTCTTTTTAAAATTAATTAATTACTCAGTTTAAGGCTACTACTATTTGACAGTAATAGTGACCTACGAAGAAACCTTCACACAACTGTGTTCCTATTTTACATACAAAATCTATTCGTAACAGAGGTCATAATATCAGTGAAAGTGTTCTAACAAGAGAGTGTAAATACGGAGGAAGTTTTTCTTCTCCTGAGGAAAACCCATTAGTCCCTGTGATAATTAAGAGTTGAAAGGTGTGTTGGAAGAATTCTGAAGCTCTTTCTATAGCTGGATGATCTTTGATGATCTAATGATCTTTTACCATCTCACAACAAAAGATGTTGTTCACCTCTACGTGCACTAAGCATAGTGCTGAGTGGCCTTACGTTTGGCCACCGAGCCAGCACATTCTTTCTCTTGACTCCTTTCCCAAACAGCAGCTAGTTATTGTGCTGCTTTCTGGAGTAATGTAGAGTTCGTTATCTTTTGACAGTGGATGTAGATTACGTTTGTCTTATCTACTCCTCATCAAAGTATGACTTAACAAAACATGCTCAGACAACCAAAAGTGATGCCAGGGAACAATACTTGAAAGATAAGCATAATTATAAAGTATATAGTTCTCTCTTTATATGCCTTTTAGATCAAATAAAGATGCTTATGGGTATAAAATACTATGCCAAGCAGATTTGTAAGCAACAAACTAAGTTTACATATGGGGATGGTAAAGTCTTAGATTTTCTCAAACTTGCCCCAATATCATTTCAAAAATAGTTGCAGTCTTTATTTTGCCAGTTTTTTCCATAAGGACATAAGCGCAGCAATTTCTACGTAGATGATATTCTATCCTAAAGATTGGATAGTCGGTGATAGTTCCTGTTCGGCTATTATGCCAACAAAATATATATAAATCTTAATTCCCAACTTTATTTTGTAAGAACAAACAGAATGCTACAATGTACAAAAACACGTCTGGTTTAGCCGGTCTTCATGTACGCGCATGGTATAATGGCTCGTAGCACATGATGGCTAAGACAATGAAAACTCCTGAATTGCATCATTCAGTGGTCCAGTTTTCGCTAAAAGTGGTTATTTACTGAGCTGCTGAGGTCAATAGCAACCAACACTGAAGTGAGTAGTTGTTTTATTATGTACTAAAACAGTGCGATAATATGCCACAAAAAGATGTTTTTAACTCATTTATGAATGCAATGATTACAAACTTTTCAGTCAAAAATCCTACATGAGTTGCATGGAGGTGAATAGCAAAGGATATTTTGAGTTTAAGTAGCCAATCACAGCGTACCTTCAAAGCACTCTACTGTTTAAGGGATAGATTAATAAATGATTATTCACCAATGTGAAAGAGAATAGTGGTGGATATTTACCGAGCTGCATAGCATATTTACTCACA